CCAGTTTAATGAACATATACTTGTCTTCCTGCAACTGTATATCTATTTTACCTCTTTGCTTTGGAGCTTAGGTTTAGATTTGTTATCGTAATATTATCAGAATAAGTGAGCATCTTTCTGAAAATTACTGGGCTTCGCCTCAATTTGTTAATTATAAAAACTATGAAACTTTCTGTAATTGAATAGAAAATTTAGATTATTCTTTTAAATTAAGATTCACCTTTTTTTGAATTTAATCACTTTTGGCAAAATGGCTTCTAAACTCTCCTATATTTCGAGAAATTTACATCATTTAATTGAAAAATATTCATCTATTCCTTAAAAATTAATAGAATATTCAATATTTAAAAGTGTATACTGTCCATCGAAGGCCGCCTTCCCCGAGATATATTTGGAGTTCTTCAATTTAAACTTACAAGATTGGAAAATGGAATTAGGAATTTCTATGATAATTTATGATGATGATAAAAGTAATCAATATGTTTGAAGGTAGTAATGTTTAAGTTGTTGCTTGTCTCAACAATTTGTGTAAAGTATGTTGACAATTGATACCATGCTATACTACTAAAATTTTGTTAGTAGACTTACTAAATGCACTACTGCTAACAAATTCATTCTTAATGAGCTTCTTGATTATTATGACAATATTTTTCACCTAGAATATCTTTATTTTTGCATCTTTTTGTTACGGTAGAATTCAAATTGAGAAGCTTACACAGCCTAAATAAGTTCACGATATTGAAGCAGCTGATCTGCAGATGGATTCATACAAACTTTGTTAAGAATAGCAATACTTATCCAAAAGTATTCCAAAACACCTGAGGATTTATTCTGTTAGCATCCCTGATACATTTGATAAGTCATCATAAATATTCTCGTTTGTTGATTATGAATTGGTGGCTCTGCTGTAGTATAACTTTCTTCTATTTGCTATCCAGCTTGCAACAAATCTTGAAGCAAAGCTTGAAATGAATGTTTAACTTTTGGCATTTTGAGGATGACAAAAATAAATTTTGTTTATTTAGATTCTACTAAATGTACCGATCCTTTTGCTATAACCTTTTTACTGAGTAGATCATGCAAACATTAATTATATCATTTTACAGCCCCTCAAACTAATTCATTTTACATATCCTTGAAAAGAGAATGGTCCAGGTATTTGTATAGTTTCATAATGTAAATATGCAACTCGCGTGCTTGCATTATTTGCTCAAATAATAGTACTAATCTTTATATTAATGTTAAACTTCCAACTCCACTTGTGTCTTCAGAGCATATTTATATTATGACAGCTACTCAATATGTCATATTTATATAACTTTAAACAATTCCAGCATCTTGTAATTGCGTTCACTCCGTAATTTTATAGCCATACTAGAACTGAATCATGGTCTGGCTTCTTAAAATTTTGCTCTTCTTGCGTATAGTTAAAGAACTCAACGCCAATCCTACTCTAAACACATCATCTCTCACCCGTCCAGTCATCAACTATAACTTGTCAAAATTGTTCTTTATTTTACTTAAATTCTGGATTCTTGTAATGCATATTAAACTACATAATGAGAATATATAGCTAATGTTAGCATACATCATGTATTCAGAATTCGCTTGATAATATCTGCTCTTCTTACATCTAGAAAATGAGCTTTCTTGCACATTATCTTATTATCCTTACTTCTTACTTCAATATCAATAATACTCAGGCTGTAAGTTTCTTTGTTATTGCTAGATTGCCCTTATATTTAGATCATAAGCATTTGTATTTAAAACTGATTATAACCTATACATAAATAGATGAGTTGATGTGTATATTTATTTAATGTTTAAATTTAACGTCGGTTCTCATGTACATCACGATACGCTGCATCTCCTCAACATGCACTGGATGTATTACATATTTCTTTTATTGTGTTCTATGTTTTTTAGTTTTAAAAACCTCAAGCCTTCTACTTTTAAACTGTAAGAATTGTCATACTGTTTTGTTCTTAATGCTCTATTTATAATAACGCCTTAATTTTTGCCAAACCCTGCAGTAATAAGGGCCAAATGTATACTTATATTTGCTCTATCCTTCAATGAAATGGACATTTAAGTATTATTCCAAAATTGTGCTATGCTAACACTATATGCTAATAAAATAAAAGTATTATATTTTTTGACATTTACTCAAGTCATTTAATCATTTTATTAAGAAGATTATAAATCTTATGGTTTACTCCCTCTTCATCTTTATAATGTTTGATGATCATTTTCAAAATTCATAATCTCCTAATTATCATTATATTCGCAATAATAGAATATTATAGAATGTACCATATGCACTAATGATTTGTCTTTAATGCTTTTCAAGGCTTGCAATTAATGTTAACACGAGCCTTGTAATTAATATTCTGTTAAGTTCATACTTTATGTATGTATAGATAGATAGACTGTAAATCGAGTTGGACCTTTTAATGCTGACCTAAAATAACAGAAGATATTATGATACTGCTCTTCTATGGAAATTGAAATTCTTCTTTCACACTTAATGTAAATACTGCCAAATTATTCCTAAAGCGATTCTGAAACAGCTTTATTTCTCTTGGGTCCATCCTTTTAATCATGCTGTTGATGCACCTAATTCTGATAAGTTCACAATATGAACAACTGCCTACATTTATGTAGATATTAAAAAGATGCTCTTATGTGAGGTTAATGGTTTCATTATAATCTTTTAATCGTTTTATATCTATATAGCCCAACATGTTTTTTCCACATTGAACTGAAAGTTTGCCAAGCTCATACAGCGAGCTCGCTTAGAATAAAGATAATTATGCTATTTAGGCTTCATTTGATATTGTCCAATCATCTGTTAACTCAAATGAA